TCTTTTTCCGTTAATGCATCATCTATGGCTGCCTCTCCCTTCAACGCTTCCAACCAACACTGCTGAACTAGTAGGACTTTCATCTTCAAGCGCCACAGACAGAAGTCGTTCACTTCGATGAACTTTTCAATCTCATACTTTGTTAAAGGCATCTCCTCCATGCTCACTGCACTAATTTGTTGTGAAAAACAATGTCTTGAAACAAAGTATAAATGGTTTCTTTATGATCAAGAAACACACAAGGGTTAGGATTAACGAGAAAACAAGAAGAACAACAAGGATTAGTTATAACTGCTATTCTTTACTTTTTCTTAGAATCATATTACAAGTACTCAAGAATAACAAATAATCTTCTCACCCTAATTAGGATTTGTCACACTTAAGATGAGAGACTAGTATGCTATTTATAATAAAACTTAACATACTAAACTAATGAGATTTATAACAATTACCCATTACAAGCTAACTTAGGGTACAAGCTAACTTAAGCAATTGGATCCTTAACACAAGACCCAATTCGACAACTACATACTAGAACATATTTCGACTACAACATGTAGATCTTTGACAACAACATGTGAGCAGACTTCGACGACATGCTAAATCTCTGTCGACAATACTAGAGTTCGATCCAATATCTCACATCATTGTAGTCAAACCCTATAACCTTATTCTCTCCAATTTCCAATATTTTATCTAACATATCAGACCCGCTATTTAACATACGCATAAAGTTTGTCATATGCTCAAGCTTGGAATTTAACATAGTAACTTCTTTTTTCATACATGTGATGGTTGAGACAAGCTTATCCTTTTCCTTATAAAGCGCACCTATGATTTTCTTTTGTTGCTCAACCGTTATGAATGTTTCCTTCCACTAGGTGCACAAAAGCTTATATGTTGCAGCTACCTCTTCATCACTCATGTCTCCATCACTAGACTCAATCTTAGCCCCGCAAGCATCTCACCAAAGATCTCTTTCTGATTATGGAGATTGTTCGCACTCACAATGTCACGAGTATCATTAAATTTCTCCCTTTATTGAGAAGATGATACTCTGATAGCGTCAATTCCCTCCTCAAAGTCAAGCCCCCTAGTAAAGAGACTCTGAATCCTTTTTCATCATAATTTCTTTAAAAGAAAGATAATTCAGCTTGACACCATAAGAGTGAGGTTCAGGGTGGAAGTGAGTCCAAGCCCAAAATTTTTGAAACCTATTCTTATAAGGGCGGGAAGATTCGATAGGTTCGTAAAAAACAGAGTCAACTTCCAGAGTGTGAGGCCTCACCAGCACGAAGTTCCCCAAGAAACCGCCCTAGTCTAAAAGGGCCGAACAAGGGAACATATTGGCGTAGATCACGAGTCCATGATCCTGGATCCTTGAGGTATGTATTACAGTGAACAAAATAAAAACTAGACTGTACGAAGGCTTTCAAGACCCATGCTCGACCCAAAATTGGAATACCTTTATGAAAATCCAAAAACCAGGATGGGGTTGGGAATGGGCAACCTTCAGTTACTTCAACACTTCCACCTCAAATTCAAACAGGGACAACCACATGTTTATCTTGATGAACATACACTCGTAAAAAGAAACATAACACCCTTCAAAGGCGCTACCTATCATTTTTTCGGAATCCACCATAAATACCAACCAATTAGTGGAACTGTCGACCATGATTTTGGGCGCATTTATATCCTTCTAGTCACTTAAAGTGGAGGGGGGGTCCCACTATCTCTAAATCTACCCACCTGTATTTGTTTTCCTCGATCGGCTCCACCAATGTAGCTATTTTTAAAGATACCTCGTCAGCCTTTAAGATCCCAAAGGGATTAAGCCAACTAACACAATCTGGTCGGGCTCCATATGTCAGATGACCTTTGATGTCGGCATCTTTCCGGTCTTGCTCGTAGGCTTTCGGTAATTCTTAACGTAAAATTTAGCATCCTACTTACTCACAAAAGCAACCTCCATCTCCGGAGTTAGCAAAGCATATAAAGTCGAAGTTCCTTCAACTTTGGAGAAGGCGAGTGCAAAAGTGGCTATGAAATCAAGTGCAAAAGTGGCTATGAAATCATCTTCTCTATCTTTTTCAGAGAAAAGAGCGTCGAAAGAAGAATCGCTCAAAGAAGCCTCATCATTAGAAGAACCCTCCAAAATTCTCTCCAAATCACAATCATTACATATAGGGCTGACCTCTGGGGTTAATTGGTTAGTGACTAGGAGGGAAGGATTTGTACCATAAGGTTCATCTGCCCAAACTAAAGGAGAGAAATCACTACTTGCAGAATCGCTACACAAACTTATAAGGCTATCATTCATATTGTTCATGGTAAAGAAAATGTTGAGGATATGGAAAAGTTTAAGGTAAAAAGGGTACTTGAGAGAAACAAAATCAGAATCAGACGAGAATGAAGAAGTTCAAATGGGAGAGTCCAAGTTTTGTTCAAAGAATAACAAGTGTTTTGAGAAATACTCTTGGAGAAGAAGAACAAAAAAACACTAGAGTGAAAATTGATTTTCTAGGATATATATATATATATATATATATATATATATATATATATATATATATATATATATATATATATATATATATATATATATATATATATATATATATATATATATATATATATATATATATATATATATATATATATATATATATATATATATATATATATATATATATATATATATATATATATATATATATATATATATATATATATATATATATATATATATATATATATATATATATATATATAAAGGAGGCAACCAACATACTAAATCAGCGGAACGAGAAGTTGTAGATCAACGACCGAACTTCACTTGAAAATTGTAACGATCTAAAGTGCACTTGAACACACTAGGAGAAGGCGTCATACTCTAAGTTGGTAACTTAAAGCCACACGTTTGAAAAAATAAATGAAATGTTCCAATGATGAGAAAGTATTTAATATGCTTGTTCCGCTCTACTGTTATAACTGATCCAAGACTTATCCACTTCTCTCCAAAGTTGAACATCATTGCTACAAGTCGGCCACAAATTTGAAAATTTCTCGACCAACTCATGTCCAATAAGCATTGGGGAAAACAATTTTGAGTCGGTCTAATGCCCAATGCATGGGTACAGTCAGGTGTAAGTCAAATCAAAATTATTCAACATATAAAGTTATTACACGTGAGATTCAAGATACATTTTTTGATCTCCATTTTTATTATGCTCTTCTTAGACTCTAAACTAACTTAAGCGTTGGAGTGTTAACCTTGCAGGTCCACCCAACACAACTGTACCAAAAATCAAAATGATCATTTCCAGAATCCTACAACATCAATCAAAAGCGATTCTAGTTCCTGAACGGAATAATTTGAAACAAAAAAGAAAAACATTTAAAAAAAATATTGTCCATTTCACGTGTTTTAAAAAATAATGTGTCAATAAAAATAGATTTATTGTGTATTTTTAAAGCATAGTTGATTTTAAGTGTGATTTATATATATATATATATATATATATATATATATATATATATATATATATATATATATATATATATATATATATATATATATATATATATATATATATATATATATATATATATATATATATATATATATATATATATATATATATATATATATATATATATATATATATATATATATATATATAAAAGATTTTTTTTCTTATAAAAACGCTTTAAAAATTGCTTTTAAAATCTTAGGATAAATTATAAACAAATTTAGACAATTTTAAAAATAATTCACGAAATTAATCCCTCAATTTTAAATTTAAACAAATTTAGTTTCCCTTTCATATTTTTGCACTTAAAATTATCGATGTTTTAATTTTTTAAATGACAAGTTTTTTGTGAAACATAATAAATTATCTTATATATATATATATATATATATATATATATATATATATATATATATATATATATATATATATATATATATATATATATATATATATATATATATATATATATATATATATATATATATATATATATATATATATATATATATATATATATATATATATATATATATATATATATTGTGAATTGTTATATATACAAATATAAATTAAAAAATAGACATCTAATCGATTTTCTATAAAAAAACGTAAGATCGAGATCAAATTATTTGAATTTAAAATAGATGGACTAATTTCGTGAATAGAAAAAATTAAGGGACCAAACTATAATTTAGCAAAAATCTTGAAATAATGTGCATAGCAACTAGGCGACACTAATTGCTATAATAATTTAAAACTATTTTTAAGATTTATCTTCTGTATACCATATGAGACACACTCACACCAATCAAGTATATTTCTACCAAAGATTTAGCATATACTAGAATTCTTTCCACTTAGAATCCTAGTCAAATCTCTCGGTTTTGTACCACCTTTGCTTTGTTGATCCTTTCCATTTTTAATCATTCAAATTAAACCAATTATTACCCATTATTATATATATACATTCACCTATATACACGCATTGTTATCCACTCTCATTCTCCCCATTTACAACAAAGATCATTTCCTATAATAAGTAAACCAAAAAAACTCAGCCTTGTCCTCATACAAAAATACACAAACAAACAAATAATAGAAAAAGTGAGAGAGAAAAAAACTAGATAAAGCATGTTTACGCATTACACGGCAACTATTTGAGGTTCACAATTATTTTTGACAGCACTTCCATTCCCTTAACACACAAAACCATAAACTATTTTTTGTGTCTTTTGTTTTGTTGTCTTTGGAGCTTAGCCAACCCTTGGTTGGATCCCCTTTGAATTCTTCATCAAAGATTTTAAGGAATTCTTTTTTTCCTGAGTTTGTTTGATCATTTCAAAGGGGTCCAGCTATGGGTGCTAGCCGGTAGTTACAGGATATTCATACAACACAATCTTTCATTGTTTCTAGATTTGCATATACATTTTTTTTCTCTCAGAATTCTTTTGATTTTTTGGGATGTGGAGGGATCCTGGAACACCTGCTGATTCTTTCTATGAAACCCGAGCCGAATGCACCGATGTTCCCAAGTCTCGATTTAGAATCAAGGTTTGTTTTTTATCCAATATATACATACATACATGTTTGCATGCATGCATGCATATATATTGACTTGTAATGATTTATCACGACTAGAGATGGAAATAAGTCGAGCTGAATCAGAACTTTGTTTTTGTTACTTGTGGTGCAGGCTGGTAAAACTCTAAGTGCAAAAAGGTGGCAAGCTGCATTTTCTCCAGAAGGGTATCTGGATATAGGCAAGACTCTAAGCCGAATCCACCGCGGGGTAATCGCGTTTTCAATCATAAAATCATACTTTAATATGTTCCGACCAAGATAGGTTAGCCTAATGAATCCTCGGAATAATTTGTCTGACATTATTGAAATTTCCAAACCAGGGAATCCATCCATCAATTAGAGGAGAAGTTTGGGAATTTCTACTCAGTTGCTATGATTCCAAGAGTACATATGAGGAAAGAGAGGAGATAAGGCAGCGTCGAAGGTAATCGTTTCCCTTCTATCAATATAATTGATCATTAATTAGTTGCATAACATAATCCGTATTTTCAGGGAGAAATATGCTGAATGGAAGGAAGAATGTCGCCAATTATTTCCGCTCGTGGGAAGTGGTAAATTTATCACAGCACCTGTAGTTACTGACGATGGTCTACCGATTCAAGATCCAATTGTTCTGCTAGAAAATAATCCAGAAAATGGAGTGATTGTACCGGTTCCGGAGATAGGTAGTACAAACACTATTAATGCAGCAAAGAAGGTGACAGACAAAAAAGTAATTCAATGGATGTTAACTCTACATCAGATAGGTTTGTGAACATATATCTCATATTGAATGTTTTTCACATGAAGAAAAATAAAATCTTGTCATCATAAAATGATTCACATTTCAGGTCTTGACGTGATTCGAACCGATAGGACACTGGTTTTTTATGAGAAGAAAGAGAATCTGTCGAAATTATGGGATATTCTCGCTGTTTATGCTCGGATAGATACAGATGTTGGCTATGGTCAAGGTTGGTTATAGATATGTGATCCATTTGAATTGAATCTATAATGTAACCATAACTTCGAACTGATGTAAACTTCTGGTTATCTTTATGCAATCGACAGGAATGAGTGACCTATGCTCTCCTATGATAATACTTCTCGATGATGAAGCTGATGCCTTCTGGTGTTTCGAGCGTCTGATGCGTAGATTAGTAAGCTCTAATCTCTATATATGATTTATTTCATCTTTAATCTGTTTTTAAACATGGTTAGTATGAAATGGTTTCTTGAAAAGCAAGTAAAACAGAAGAAATTTTCTTGGTTGGTTATTGGTTATTGTTTGCACCAACTTAAAGAAATTTTCTAGTGTATTTGAATACAATAATGTGTGTATCTTTATCTGTAGTTTTTATTAATTTTAACTTCGATTTTGTTTCTTATGATCTGCGCTTTTTTAATTTTTAAAGCGAGGAAATTTCAGATGCACCAATAACAGTGTCGGGGTGGAAGCTCAACTAAGTAATTTGGCTTTGATTACTCAAGTAATTGATCCAAAACTTCATCAACATATAGGTATTTTCCTCCATATATTATAAATACATTGATTTTTTGTATTGTGTTGCCGCATTTTTCACAACTTGATGTCGAAATGGAAAGTAACTAGAAACTGTCTTTTAATGTTGTGGCACAGAACATATTGGAGGAGGTGACTATCTGTTTGCTTTTCGGATGCTTATGGTTCTATTTCGTCGAGAATTCTCGTTTTGCGATTCATTGTATCTTTGGGAGGTTTGATTAGCTTTTTTTTTTCAACCACTTTGCATCATTTTCTGTTAGAAATTGTTGGTTGATATCAAGTTTTTGAATTGCATTAGATTAGTTTTAAGTTGTATCATTGTGTCAGTGGCATACATTTATGCTGTGTTCTGTGAAGTGATTTTTCTCCTTAGAAACAGCTTATAGAGATTGTAATAACAAAGAATTACTTGAAATGTTTAACAGATGATGTGGGCTCTAGAATATGATCCCAACTTGTTCTGGTTATATGAAGATTCGGAAGACACTTCTGAAAAATCTGATGAAGCGAAAGCAAGATTAAAGTCAATTCGTCATTATGGAAAGTTCGAGAGAGAAAATATGAGGAACGGGGCAAAGAATACAGAAGAACCTCCTCTTCCCATATCGATTTTCCTTGTTGCTAGTGTGTTGAAAGAAAAAAGTGCAACACTACTTCAGCAAGCGCGAGGTCTAGACGATGTTGTCAAGGTTTGTTATACTGAATTCTTCATGTTCATATTTTTCTTAGTTCACATATATTAACTTTGACCATTTGATTTAATTCCTCTTAGATATTGAATGACACAAATGGAAATCTAGATGCCAAAAAGGCCTGCATGGCAGCACTGAAACTTCACAAGAAATATCTGAAAAAGGTACAATAACCATTTCTTGTTTTTACTTTCCATATCTTCATGTTTCCATTTAACATGAGGATAGCCAAACTTCAGCAAAGTAATTGCTCTGTGATAATGAATCACCTCATATAACACTGGGAGTTTGAATTTGTTGCAGGCAAAGAAACCCTAAGCCCGAGTATAGCATGTTTGTTTTTTTCGCTGATCAAGAGATGTGTTATTCCTGCACGACACCCTTTGTTTGAGGTTGAAGTTCCTCATAAAATTTGGATTAGGTTTTACAGAATTCAAAAAGGAATCCAACCAACAAATCTTAGTTGAGCAACAAATGGTGTTGTATGTTAATTTAAATTCTTTTTCTTTTGTATTAAAATAACAAAACTTGTGCATTAAATTATTATGTCCATTTGTTCATACATTGTAAAATCTGTGATACGATCATACGGAAAAAAAAAGTAAATAAAAAAGGGAATAACCATCTGTGTCAACAAAATTGAGGTTGACATTCATTTCTTGCCTTAAACATGTTATTCTTTTCCGCAGTAATATGATATATGTAGCTGTCATTGAATGTTCATTCGAATAAAGCAATTCATTAAGAAAAAAAAAATCCAGCAAGACAACATCAATGCAAAAGCTAGAACGTATATTCTTGCAAAGCAATGATAAGCTGATAAGCATTTCAAGGGTAATCAATATAATGCAAATTTCAATGTGTGAGGATTCGACTAATGTAATCAAGTGTCTAACAAAACTTATTTAATAAGCTCGAAGCAGAACTGTAACACAGCTCATCTGTTACTTGAGCAGCATTTATCTTGAACCCCCGTAAGTACGCATAGTCCTTCTAGTGCGGGAATTTGTATGAGTTCGCTGTCCACGACAGGGTAAACCATCAGCGTGCCTGATCCCTCTGTAGCATTGAATACCAACCAACCTTCCCACATCTCTCTCAACTAACTTTTTCTGAAATCGAAAAGTAACCAAAACAATCAACCACATTATACATTATATCATGGAACAAAACACATAATGTGCAAATTCAAAAAGTAAAGAAGATTAGAGTACCAAATCATTTCCAATCAAATACTTGGCAAGCAATTCACGAAGAGAGTATAGTTCTCTTTTGCTTAGGTCCTTCACATATTTGTTCTCCACTCCAAGCTCACACACAATGTGATGAGCTTTTGCACGGCCAATCCCGTGGATATGCTGAAGAGCATACTGAAGACGTTTGCTATCGGGAATCTCACCTCCAAGACCACCTCCAATGTTTATGTTTCGTACTTGCACACTGCGAAACTGCACAAAACCAAAACGGTGTAACTAATTTGATTCTTAACTGCAGTAGAAAACCCTAGATTGAAGCTAAGAATGAAACAAAACCCTACACTAAGCAAAATCATAAAAGCAGAGTTGAAGCATAATAATCTTCTAAAATTAAAAAGAACAGCAGTTTCAAACCCAAAATGATGAAAGGAGAAAACTCACCGTTAAGTTTTCACGAAGACAAACAGCGGCATTAGAAACAATTCTGCCAAAACCAAACATGTTGGAATTTGAGGATCTAAAAACACACAAACCTAAGAATCAATCCAGTTTTCAAATGAAATAAGAATTGATTTAATCTCATGCCATACCATAAAATAAGAACTCTGATAATTTTGTTTGAAGGGATTGTTTCAACCTTAAAATTGGAGAGAGAAAGTTTGTTTGGTAATTACATGTATATGATAACTTCAATTACATTTTAGAATGTGAAATTGACAATTAAGCAGATTGGAAATCTATGAAAGAAATTCCCAAAGGATATGCTAATAAGATCATTATAAAGCAGACCAGATCAAACATCAAAGAGATGAAACCCTAACTACAGAGGAAAGGAGCGAGAGGTAAATACCGGTGATAGTGACGGAAGGTTGTAAGAGAAGAAGAACGATCTATATGAACTCAATCTCCGACGGTGACGGTGGTTGACGGCGAAGAGTGAGCAGCCGTGCAGGTATGGCTGAGGTCGATTGGCCGACTCGCAGTACTCCGAAAACAAAACTCAGGCCAGTGGTGGTTTAAGATGTAAAAATGATTTTGGAAAGTTTTAAAGTTTTTAGAATATATTCTACATCAGAACCGATTTTATTAGAAATTAAAATGTATTGTTTAAATTAATTTTACATAAAATTATCTAAACATAAATTACTTTATATCCAATTCATTTTTATTCATAATTAATTTTATAAAATTAATTAATTCAAAGTCAATTTTTCATCGCAAAACCAAATATATACTATAAACTTTATAAGAATAGAAAAAAAAAATTGAAAGAAAAAATAATACTAAAATTAATAATAGGTAAAATGTTTAATTGATGTAGAAAACAACATAAGATTGACACAAGTTGTACTAAAAACTACAAGAAATAAGCCACACAATACAAATAGAATAGGGAAAAAACTACAAAATCAAAAATATACAAGCTCCTTTAAGTCAACTCTAAAAAATCACCCTCGAAAAATAATATCTCAAAAGATAATCAACGTAAAGCTCAAGTCAATACCAAAAAAATAAAATAAAATAAAATAATAGAGACACATGCGTTCCCTACTTAGTTGAAATATCTATATATATTATTTGTTAATTCAAAGAATATGGTTTTAAAGTCATTATTGTAAGATGCAAGAGTTCTCCACCAATCTATTCAAAAAATATTTTTCTCATCAACTTCTTTTACGTTAGTTGGAGAACTAGAAAATACACTCATTTTAAGTCCTTCAAATGTAGGGATAAAAATAGGTCAGACCAGCCTACAACGACATGTAATCTGACCTATTTCATAAAAAGGCTAAGTCTATGGCCTATAAAAATATACTTAATTAAATATGTCAAACTTACGCTATTAAAAAAAACTTATTAAACTTGATAGGTCCACACACACACATACAAAATGGACTATTTGAAAGTAAAGTGAAACGAAATTTTAAATAGGCTTTTAGAGCAGACGATACTAGACAAAAAAAAGGCCTATAATAGGCCATCGGCCCAACTCATGCATTAAAAGTTTATCAATTCCATAAGAAGAGTTGTTTGCCACCCATACCAGCTGAAAATCATATGCCAACCACTACTAGTTAAGTTGAAAATGACAAACAATTGCGAAGGTGACTCAACGAGAACACTACAAATAGGACGTAGGGTAAGACTAGGGTCCACAATCACCTTTCTCTTAGATAAATTCTCTCTACATGAGAACATATCAAAGAGCGGACAATGGGTTCTTCTTTTGCATCTGGAGATAGCCTCTTATTCATACCCCTGTCAGCCAGGAGCCTCTCTTCGTGCTTGATGTAAGGTTATGCCTCACTAAACAAATCATTTAGATAGTAAGCCTTTTTCCACCCAAGATTTTTCGATAATGCACAATCCGATTTGAGGCTCTTCTCAAAGATCCAGCACTTCAGGCTTTAACATGAGCCGCCAACAACTAGTGATACCTTTGTGAAATGGTCAATATAACCGCATAGAGTTTCCTTCTTACCATGCCTGATTCGGATGAGCACGACCATGATGGTCTATTGCCTATTCCTCACGGTCAAATGGGTGATAAAAGCCTCTCACAAGTTAGACCAAGAGTCTATGCTTCTGTCTGGAAGGGACGTGTACAAGGTTATTGCTGATTTAGTAATTATTGGTGCAAGGAACTTGCACTTCACTACTAAGTCAGCAATATTACTACAATTTATTGTCTACATGTTCATCTGGATCTCCAGGTATCTTGTAGCTTTAGTGTTTCAGAAGCTTCTTTAATGACTTTGGGATTCGATTGTGCACGATGCAAGCAGAACAAGGGATTTTCTTCTACGTCTGGATGAAAGCATCTTATTCATACCTTTCACTACTTATAGGATGGATAATTTTAATAGGGGTATGGCCACCCCTCATTCCTTATAGATCTGGGGAAGGAGTATGGTGCATGTGTCATCGGCATCTTAGAGACTTCTAGATCCCTTTTCGGTTTTGGAAACATTAAATAAATGGGGGTTCATGTTTCAGTGTGAAAAACAAGTAAACAAGTAAATAATATCACAAAAGCAGTCAGGTTGTGTTGTAGAATTCCCCATTCCTTTATTGTTGATGTTTGATGCCCGGTATGAATGATGTAATCACTATAACCCTACGGCGAATTAGCAAAATCGTTATAGTCGATCCCTCACGAAATAACTCACTAACCACTACTTGGAACTTTCTATCCCTAGTCTTCCAACGTAAGCAGAGTTAGGTGATGTATAGAATGTTAATTCTTTATGCCATTACTCGGGGTCTCTTATCCCTATTCGACCAGCGTAAGTAGAACAATTGCCCTAGGTCCAACTCATAGGCTAAGAGTCAGTAATCCATATGTGTCCAGTATCAGATTAACAGAGTATCTCAAATAAAAAGCATTACAAACAAGAAACGGTTGAATAAGATTAAAGATCAATAGGTTCGTACAATGGTTAAACAACATAGAACCCTACAATGTAGAAAAGGTTCATCATAACACAACCTAACAAAAAATAATTTAGCTATTCATAGTGCAATTAAAAATACCACAATTGATAGACAAAGATGACATAAGAAGTCCATTGAAGAGATGGCATCCAATGGCTTTAAATGCTCTAAAAATCACCCCATGTGCTCTCTAATTCGTGCTTCAATCTCTAAATTTTGTAACCCTTGTCACAATGCTAAAAAATCCCCTTGTCAGAATGGGTCAGAACGCGTCAGAAAAGCCCAGGAAAGTGACAACCGCGCGCATTATATATGTATCATACACGTGATGTAGCTTATTCCTCCTTATCGTGCATGCTATGGCGCACGTGACTGTTCCAGTAGTTGCGTAAAAATTCACCCCTTTTCACCAGAATCACTAAGTCTCATTCTTCCATACTTGGCTATTTTTCACTCATTCTTGGATCTTTCTTCTTCCTTTTGTCTCTTTTTTCGCTTTTTTTTCCACTGATTCTTTGCCTAATTCCATGCAATGACTGACTGTCATCACAATCTCAAACTTGAATCTTTGCTTATCCTCAAGCAACTCGCCTACAACTCAATATTTCAACAGACAATAAGTCGTATAATAACATTTGAACATCACCATATTTTTTTTCATGTTACTCGACCATTTCTCCAGCTTCCAGCTTTCATTCAGCAAATTCAGGCAACGTCCTCAAACATTAACGAGTACTCAACCTATCTCTCAGCTCACTTTTTACTCGCTTAATGGGTAGGGTTATCACTCAATCAACATGTAAAATAATTATACTTAGCTTGATCATGTTCTAATATAGTTCATCATAGAATCACGAGACACGCATTAGAGTTCTTTTTAGGTTGTAACTTGATTTATATTTAGGTAGGATATTTTAAAAAAAATAGGTTTAAACCTTTGGAGTTAGGTGCCTAGTTCTCCTTCTATGTTCATACTGTTTTGTTCCTTCTTAACGGTACTAGAGATTTAGTCATTCTTTATGCATTTTCTCTCTTCTTTTGTTTGAAGAAGCGTCTTTTTACACTTCTTATTTTCTCAAAAATTTTGAATTTTTTTATCAATTACCTCTAGTACCCCAACCTAGAACCTCAATCCCAAACTTAAAACTTTTCTCACTTCTAAGAGCAACCCCAAACTTAATTTTTTTCATACGACTTACGAACCAAAATTCTACCTAGCTCCAAAGAGAGGGTGGAAAGAAAGAGCCATTCGATTCATACGACTAAGAGTTGTAGGCTACGTCACCGAAAGAAAGGGTTAGGCTCAAAATGGCTAGCAAAGGATGTTCCTAATACTACAGGGTGGCTACAAAGGCCCAAAGTTAATACAAGTAATTGCCTTAGTGTGTTCCAATCAAACTAGAAAACTTAATCAGAAATAGATTAAAGCAGATAAATTAAAATTGCATGGAAACACTTAAAAGAAAGAAAAGTGGGCAATAGAAATTATTTAGGCTCAAACCTTACCAGATGAGGTATCTGAAGGCTGAGTACAAGTCCATTGATTCTTTTTTCTTCCTTTGCCTTCAAGTTGTCGGTTTTTTTTCATCATGATCAAGTCTTTTTTTTTCTTGGATCATTTGTTCAATGCCAAAGGTAAAACTTATAAATCTGGAGAGAAAAAATAGCTACGACGAAGTTTATTAAGAACAATATAGATCTTCATGAAAAGGTTATTCTTGAGTAGCTAATTTCTCTTGTGGATGGTCTTGAATAAAACAAAAGTAAATTCTACAAAACAAAAACAAAAACAGATTAAAAATGATCGGTTGTCTCCCATTCAACATTTTTTTTCCATCATTAGCTTGACGGCTCATGCTCAAAACACATCAGGTGCAAGGGATACCCTCACGCCGGTGAAAACTTCTTTTTTCATTCTTTTGTGAACTTCACTACCTCTTTCTCCCAATTTGTAGCATGTCTTATGATCTTTCATATATGGTGTTCATTTATATGCATTAAACACCACATTCTCCTAGTTAGAATTCAAACTTAACTCACTTGTCTCCACATCTATTTTTGCGTTC